TGCCTGTGTGTTTAAAATTTAGAACTGATAGTCCCTTCGATGGAGCCAGCCCCAGGTTATAGTGGACAAAGCTCTCAGTATGGCAGAGACATTTCACATAAGAATGCCATGTTCTGCCAAGACTGTCATTATGACACTAAAATGTACCCTTTTGCTAAGGGCCAGAATTCAGAGGCTCTCCTTCCAGTTTCTACACTGATTTAGACAACAGATGCGTAAAAGGCAAAGTGGTATTCAGGATCATTTGTCACATGGCTTCAGGACAGGAGGATGGCTATCTGGCAAGAGCAAGAATTCCTTAAATGTTACTGGGTCTTACATTTCTGAACGTAAAATCCGTGGCCAGAAGTTGCTTGGTGCCAAGTGCCTTTGCCGTGATGTCTTCACCCAGCACAAAGCTGGATGGCTGCGACACTGCGGCTGCTTCAGAATCCTCATAGCCTGCGCCAGTTTGCAACTGACGTTGAGTGCTGCTGTTGCTTTGCATTTTCTTTTGTTGCTGTCTTGGTTGCATTTATTCTCACTGTATTTTTTTCCTCCTTTAATTCTGCTCTGAGCTGCTCGGTCTATCCAGCTGGATCAAGGAGTTTTTTCACAGCCTTGTCAGTAGTGCAGTTCGTCTTGTTTTAGTTTTTATTGTGTCTCCTGGGTTCCTTTACTTTAGACCTTTCCAGAAATATGGCACCAGTTCAGATTTACTCATAACCCACGGGGCCTCCGGTTTATCTAACCTGTGTACTTTTTTCTTTCAGGAGATTTTTTAATAATTTTTTTCCCTTAAAATGTGCTTGAAAAAGTATAAACATAAATCATCTGGAGGAATAATTCTCAGCTACCTTGAAAGGTGTTTGAGGACTATTTCACAGTTACTATGATTGAAGCAGTAAAATTTAGTTTATAGTTAACAATAACTTTCCTTTCATAAGGAAAATATAAAAAAGCTCAACTTTATGATTTCATGACATATTACCAACCCCCAAATACCATTCCTGATCCCCATCCGCTAACGCACACACTCAGTGAAATGCTCAGGGAAGAACCATAAAAGGGAATGAGCTGTATTCTCTTTGACCTTGTCCTGTCTCTCAGGTACTTTAATTAAAATGATAGTGTTAAAGGTCTGAGACTCACTTGAAGCAATATGAGTTTAATCTGTATTTTGACTGTAGTTGAATTCCTGCTGCTTGAACTGTGGTTTGGAAAATGACTTTGCTGGGCCCAAATTTTCTCTCCAGTCAGCCTCCTTACCTGACCCGAAATTACCCCCGTGTAGATTAGGCCACAGGAAGTTAGGAGTGGAAAGAGCATTGCTCAGAAATCAGGAGCTCTGAATTTAGGTAGAACTGCTAGCCATTGGGTATGTGTTCGAAGGCAAGTCCCTTTATTTACCAGGGCCTCGGTTCCTTGAGCTGTAAAATGAGTGTGACAAAATAATCTGTAAATACCTTTTTACCTCTGATAATCTGAGATTCTGTGAAATGCCTGGGGAGAGAAGGGAGCCCACAGTTTACGGAAAGTCATAGTTAGATGCATACCACGTTATCTCTATTAGAAACAGAACTTGGGCTCTGAGCAACAGGACAGGAACATGTCAAAGGAGCCTTGGGGAGCATGGCAGCAGTAAGCCCCCCTGGTGGCAGTTAAAGGACCCTGCCAGGGAGGGTATTGGCCTCTGAGGGTGGGTCACGAGGCCAAGAGGGGAGAGGACACGTGGTTAAATCTGTCAATGTGTTGTTTACGTCTTGTGTCATTTTTAGGACAATCTATCCCAAGATTATAAAAGTTTGCTTCTACGTTTTCTTCTGCTTCTTTTATTAGTTTAACTGTACATTTATATACGCATAATCTAACTAAATTTTTTTAATTGTATGAGGTAATGATCTGACTTCTATTTTTTTTCCCCGAATTGATAGTCAGTTGTCCCAACACAGTTGACTGAGTACCTCCACCTTTCCTTACTGATTTGAAATGCTGCCTTTATTATATGTGTGTCTATTTCTAGACTCCAGGGTTTCCATCAAACTTTAAAAATATTCTTGTATCGGTAGCACACAGTTTTTATGACTGTAGCTTTATTGTGCATTTTGACGTATGGCAGGGTATGTCTGCTTTCACTTTTTTCAAAATATTCTCATCTAGCCTCTTGAATTTACTTTTCCAGTTGAACCTTGGAATAAGCTTGACAATTCTCTTTAAAAAATTCCATTGGAAATTAATTTGGGATTGCAGGGAATTTATATAATAATTTGGGGAATATTTTTATCTTTCTTACATCCAGTCTTTCCACTCAGGCACATGGTATCTTTCTCCACTTGTTCTGATCATCTTTCATGACATCCACTAAGTTTTTATAGTTTTTTACATAGGGTTTGCATAGTCCTCATTGAGTTTAATTATTTTGTTGTTCCTATTGTTTCTATTGTGGATGACTTCTTGTCTGTTTTGTAATAGTTATCACTCATATATAGGATATCTGTTGAGTTTTGTCTATTTTTCTTATATCCAGTTGGATTGTCAAAGTACACACAAGTGTATATCTTTCAAATAGTAACAGTTTTATGTCTTTATTCTCCACCTCCCTCTTTTCCTCCCTGTCTCCCTCTAATTATTGCGTTGCATAGACCAGATTTCCAAAACAATGTTGAATAGTAGCAGTGATGGCAGACAATAAATGGAATTTTCCTTATATTTTATCATTAAGTATGGTGTTCACAGAAGGTTCTGGTGTAATTGCTTCATCAAATTAAGGGATTCTCCTTCCATTCCTAGATTATTTAATAAGAGATTCCACCCACCCCTAAACACACACATAACTGAATAGGTTATTGCATTTACCAGATGTTGTTTCCACAATTTTTAAGACCATCGTCTAATTTTCCTCTATTAATCTATTTATATAGAGTAAATTTCTTAGTGTTTAACTGTCCTTGAATTCTTGGGAAAAAGTCTATCCCATCACAGTATATTGTTCTTTTCATATATTTCTAGATTCAATTTATTAACCAATTCTCCAGTGAGATTTATCTATAATCTTCTTTTTTTCTAATGCTCTCTTTGTACAATTTGTGTGTGTGTGTGTTTGAGGAAGATTGGCCCTGAGCTAACATCTGTTGCTAATCTTCCTCCATTTTGTATGTGGGACACTACCACAGCATGGCCACTGACAAGTGGTATAGTTATCCACCCAGGATCTGAACCTGGGTCACCAAAGCAGAGTGCACTGAACTTAACCCTTAGGCCTCCAGGGCTGGCCCTCATCTTTTTTTCTTATGGCTCCTTTTTCTTAGCAGCCATAATCCCTGTGGAGATCAGAAGTTACCTGAATCTCTGCTCTGTGCTTCTTAATGACCTTAATGCCTTTGCTGGGAGCCCTGTTGAGGCAGATCTCCTCACTTGTTTAAAGCACATTTGTAGCAGCTGTGTCCTGGAGCCATCTAACCCAGAGGCGCTTTACAGACTCAGCAAGAAAAGGCATTGCCTAGCTCTTCTGACGTCTGTCCTTTAACTGGTAACCTTTGTGATTCCCCTCATGGCCCACTTGCTTTATGACTGTGAACTGCTCACATGAAACATCATCTCTGCACCATCAGAAGCAGCAGCTCACACTCTGCCAGGGTTTTGCCCCCCCCCCCCC